CAACAACAACGTGGCATGGAGTCATCCTGTCCCAACCTGCACAGGTACCAGCACAGATAGTTACCGAGGACTACAATGATTCAATGCACCCGAAATCAATAAACGGTTGACCATATTCTTGCTCGAATACACGGTTTTAAAACCATTTCTGGGAAAACAAATTAGTATTTCGTAAATGAAGAACTCTTTACGATTACGTCAATTGGTATTTTACTTTTGAAGTTTGTCTAATTAAGGCACAATTCTAGCTCTACCATGTCCCACTCGGACGTGGTTACGTTTACCTGTAACCAGGGGTACGAGTTGAACGGGGTCACTACTGCAACTTGCCAAGCCGGCAGCAACAACAATGTAGTTTGGAGTAGTCCTGCCCCAACTTGCACAGGTAGCAACACAAAGAGTTACGGTTGCATACAATATATACATGCATTAATCTCATAAACTCTTAGATAAAATCTCTTAGATATTTGAATTGAAGTTTTAACACGAATTTTGCACGTTGAACTTTATGCCCTGTTTCTTCGTACAGATAATGACGAATGTGTCGATGACAGCCACAACTGCAGCCCGGATGCCACCTGTACCAACACACCTGGCAGTTTTACCTGTACTTGTAACCCAGGCTACAGCGGCGACGGTGTTACTTGTACTGGTGAGATGGGATTATACATCTTGAATATACGAACAAGTATAAAACACACAAAACTGTTTTGTGAATTGTAAAGAACCAATGCCACAAAAAATAATTATTTGTATTTTCGAGAAGTGCAAAGAATTGAACTTTGAGAACACGTGATACTAACACGTGAACACGTGATACTAATAGAGAAATTCCAATAACATACTCGGCGTACATAGCAACTTTCCTGACCACGCAGATAGCTTTTAAATTAAAGTCATATCAGTCTGATCAAAACATAGTTATAATAAAATTCTATTTGAAGAGTGATTGAGATCGCGCTGTGTTGTGTTCTGTGAGGTTTCTTCTACGTAACCAGCGTATCACAATATAAACTAGAAAAGTAACATTTGCAAAGCAAATATGCATAATGTTTACCTTCGGATATGGTCTGCTCTGTTAATTCTTACTCAAACACATTCACATACATGTATATTTATGGTGACAGGAGCCTAAATGTCTTCTCTGAAATTGCAACATGATGTAACCCAGCACCAGTTACTATGGTTGGTCGTGTGGCGAAACGGCAGAGTGCGCGACTCGGAACTAAGAGTCCCGGGTTCGAGTCCTGACATGCCACCGATCTTGTGCCCTTGGGAAAGGCACTTTAAACGACTTTCCTCACTTAGCTCAGGTGTAAATGAGTATTGTCTTGTCATGTATTTGTCCCCTGTGTTGGTGGCGGCATTAATATAAGTTGAAAAAACTTGAGTGTGTCGTCACCACGTCTGGCGATTACATCCTGGAATAAAATTTAAAAAAAAAAGTACTATGGTGACAGACGTCAACAAAAGAGGCCATTGGCCAGGTCAGAGGTTAGTGTTTCGAACAGAAGAAGAAGAAGAAGAGGAAGAAGAAATGAAGCAAAAACAATATGTTTTCCTTCGGTAAACATAATAAACCTACCCCCCCCCCTAAAAATACATGTAGCTGGATAATACAAGGGGGCTGGGATGGCGACCAAGGCGGTCTGTGTGCTGTACCTAGCGGCGCTATGGAGTCCATCCCTTGGGAACTCTGATTTTAGTATTTCTCAACTCCCTTATTTCATGGACGTACAGCATGGTAGAATTTATGTGATGGTTTAGTAAATATACATGTTGATAAAATCAGCTGTATCAGTGTTTTTCTAACAGTTTCGACCATAAGCCATTGCGTTCTGGGATTTCGCTCGTGCCATACTATGCAGCAATGTGCTTTCCTCCCTTTACATTTACCAAAAATCATTCTTTCATTCTGATTCGTGTTCTAATCTCGCGCTTTGGTCTCTTAAAACTGAAGTGTTTCAGTGACATCGAATGGGTATCAATCGTTAGGCATGCTAATGCCCTTATGTCTCAGTGCAGCAAGAGGGAGGGGGTATGGTCTTTGTACACATGAACGCCCCTTCTCAGAAGTATCCAACTAGGAAAACGTACGTACAGTTTTAACAATAATTATAGTTCTACTACATTAATTTCTGATGTTTCATTTTGCTCCTACGTCAGGTCCTGCAGTAGACTGCACGACCCTACCGGCCGGCATGTACCCAGACCCGCAGGACTGTACCAAGTTCTACCAGTGCACGGGAGACCCAAATAACCCAGTCCCTGTACACAAGGACTGTGCCCCGGGAACGCTCTTTGATTTGAACCTTAATGTCTGCACATTTACATCACATTGTGACACCGGTAGGTGTTTAAGAAATTTCATTTTACATGGCTTTCTCCCTCGGTATCTTCTATCTGATGATGATAAACATTATATGTTGATTTCGTATAATGTATGTATGTATGTGTGTTGCGATGTAAGCATACACGATAAAAGCTCAATTACTTCTTCATTCCTACAGACGAATGTGCAGATGGGAGCCACAACTGCCATCCCCATGCCACCTGTACCAACACACCCGGTAGTTTTACCTGTAGTTGTGATGCAGGCTACATTGGTGATGGTCTCCACTGTGTCGGTGAGAACAGATCGATTCTTTGACTTATGTTGATGGTTTAGATGAAATACATATACGTTTACAAGCAGTAGAAAATTCTTGTAGACTGCAATACAACAATTTTTTTTTTATGATACATTGAACCATATACTTTCAAGCTATGTAAAATTTTACAGTTGAATCAACCAGTCCTTTAAATTTTCCTTTGCACTTTATACTGTTTGACAATTAGGAATCATGAGTTATGGCATCATTTCAATCTTCCGTTGATACTTTCAGCTGCACCATGTCCCACTCTGACGGCTCCAGCTAACGGTGCAATGAGTCCTCCCGGACCTCACTATTTCATGGACGTGGTTACGTTTACCTGTAACCAGGGGTACGTGTTGAGCGGGGCCTCTCCTATATTGTGCGGAGTTGGCAACAACAACAACATAGTGTGGAGTCATCCTGTCCCTACATGCACAGGTACCAACACAGATAGTTACCGAGGACTACAATGTATACATGTATCTGTATTGTATGTATGTATCTGTATTGGTGAGGAATAATTATGCAACTTTTGTTATTGCAATGTTTCAATGCACCCGAAATCAATAAACGGGTGACCATATTCTTGCCAACACACCCGGCAGTTTTACATGTGCTTGTAATCCAGGCTACAGCGGCGACGGTGTTACTTGTACTGGTAAGGGCAGTATGCCGTTGTTCTTTTCAATGTGTGAATATATATATTGGCACCAATTCTAAGAATGTCTTGGTAGTGATTCATTATCAAAAATGACTTTTAGTGTCCTCGATCACGGGGTGTGTGACAACTTGATTGTAAGAACGGTAACACTTGTAAGTCGCAGATATTTTTTCTTATTTTGTTTGTGCAGATGATGACGAATGCACAGATGGAATTGACAACTGCAGTCCCTATGCCACCTGTACCAACACACCCGGCAGTTTTACATGTACTTGTAACTCAGGGTTCACCGGTGATGGTTTCTTCTGTTTTAATGGTAAGAAACAAATGTATGTCAGGCTACAGCGTCGACGGTGTCACCTGTACTGGTAGGGAATTTTTCTTTAGCCAGATAGTCTCCGAACATTCCGTTTAAAATGAAAATGCAGGCTGAATCAATGCGTATCTTTAGAAACTCATATCTTTAAGAAAGTAAATTATTTTGTGTAAACAAGGTAGACTTAACGGTGTCGTCTATTAGTCTAACATGCAGGTAGTTTGTATTGTTTGATATGGCACCATGGCATTGCTTATATGAGCATTACATCTTCATTTCAGCTCGAACATGTCCGACTTTGGCGGCCCCAGCTAATGGAGCATTGAGTCCTACAGGGCCTCACTACTACCAGAACACTGTTACATTTACTTGTAACAAGGGATTTCAGTTGGACGGGGTCACTACTTCAACGTGTCAAGCTGACAGCAACAACAGCATGGCGTGGAGTGATCCTGTCCCAACCTGCACAGGTACCAGTTCAAAGAATGGCTGGTTAATAGAATGTAGATATTATATGATGTTAGGAAATTTGTTAGGAAACTATGACATCGCATTGTGCAACCGGTAGGTACTTGAAGACTTTCAGGTATATAAATAGTGGCGTTTAATGGCCGAGTTGCCAGGTTATTGCTACTATCAGACACAAACCAAGAAGTCACAGATTTGATTCCTGATTTGATGCCAATGTAAAATGGGTGCCTGACTTCTGTTGGGGAGATAAAAGGCGGTAAAAGAAGAGGGTTGGGCTCCACCTTCCAATAGCATTCCCTAGACATAGCGTTTAACAACTCCATTGGCCTGGAAAAATGATAGGGGACTACTGTTGCTTCACTTCTGCTTTAATGTGGCAAACACATAGGCTCACGTTGATCCCGTAACACACCTTCCCACAGCTACAACGCCTGCACCAGGAGGTCCTTCTCCAACTGACACAGCCCCCACCTGCACCAACGAGTACATGGAGCTGGCCCTGCCGGCCGACCGGCTCGCTCACGTGGTGACCAGCGGGCTGCACTGGGACCCGGACCCGAGCTGTAAGGCCAGCTTTAACGGGACACACTACGTCCTGCGTACCGGGCTCTACCAGTGCGGGACAAGGGTAAGGGTCCGGACTGTAAAGTCCAATGCTTTTGAACAGTCTAGAAATAGTTACATTCTTATCTGCCTGCTGTTGCAAGTTTTGTGGAGTTTGAAAACAAAATATACAGGCACCCACTTTTATTATCTATATATGGCTGTACTTACACAGTAACTACAATGTGCAAAGGCTTATAAAAATTACAATTCAACCAAGTGAAGCTTATTGAAATTTTATGTGATGCGTAGGTGACATTTGACACGAAGTACGTCATCTTCTACAACAACGTCAGCCTGTTGTTCACCCATGATGGCGTCATCACCCGAGACCCTGATGTCGTAATCCACTCCATGTAGGTGTATTGCCATTTTGTAAACAGATACAGGTATTTCTGGATCTGTATCTGTTTAGTTTTCAGCGTATTCAAAATACTAACAAGGTATGGTAAAAATGACGAAAACAGTCAGCCATCTTAGCGTTAAGGGGATTGTGGGTAAGGTCAGAGGTAAAGACCCCTGAGACGGACACAGATACACATGATGAAGTCAGTAGTCGAAACGAAGTATTATTTATCAGTTAATAAACTTATTGTTGACCATAGACCACACCGTATTGTATTCCAACTGCACACGAGCTGTAAGAACTGTGCGATCGATGGTCTGTACATAATGAGTACCATCGTATCCAGAACAGTGCCTATCTATCTAGTTCTCTGTCTGTATAGGTTAGAGGTTGGATCAGGCAGGGTTCTGGATAGTCCATGAACGTATATTTGCCCCCACGGTTTTGGATACGCGTTGACTATACAGAACCGTGTCTGATCATGAGCATGTTTCTGGATAAATCACGGTTTTGGATACAACAGTATACTTCTCCCCGCAGCTGTAAGTACGACCGTGAGGAGGCCGTGCTGTCGCAGTTCCTGCCCATCCCGGGCGGACTGGAGTTCTGGGATGAAGGGTTCGGTCAGCTGTCCATCCGGCTGGACCTGTTCCCCACACAGAGCTACCTGGCTCCCTACACAGCACCTGAGTACCCGGTACACTAGCTTTTCATAATTACTAATTAATATTTTCAATGCTATATAATTGTATAATTATGTATAGTCTACCAATGGTTTGATTTTTGTTGAAAATTCAAACAATTTTGTCTATTTACTACCATTGTTACGTCCGGCTCTTTTTACAAACATTACCCATCAGCAATTAATACATCCAACCTTTCGTGCTACAGCTCGTGGGTGACTGGAAGCAAATAAAGATCACTAGTCTCTCTCTTCCAGGTGCACAAGAAGCTGCGGAATAAGTAAATGTGAAAATCAGACGGATTTTCTAACCCCAGCCTGTTTTTATTGTTGTTTTGCCTTTCAGGTGCACAAGCAGCTGCGGGAGAGGCTGTACCTGCAGCTGCAGGTGCAGGGTCACGGCAGGCAGCTGTCAATCATCGCTCTGGAGTGTCAGGCTACATCCGGGCACAACACCTCCCTACAGTACCCACTCATACAGGACGGGTAAGTTCCTAGAAGAGTGTACATTGCGATGTCCTTTTTTTTGTTAGAAAAAGAACCACGGAGATGGGCGATACCGACTTCTGACGAACTTTGACCTAGTGTTGATGGCACACGGAGAAAGCACGTGTCTACAGTACTCTAGCTGATGAAAACAGTGATTTTCATCAGCTATAGTTATTTCTTTTCCGAGTTAGAAAACAGTTAATTTTGCATTATAGAATGGTACTACATCACGTTTTTTGTATCATGCAAAATGTCCAGACAATCTAATATTATATAGATGAACAACAAAATACCATTTTTTTGCAGCTGTGCCTCTGATGACACCCTACAACTCTACACCAACTCTGACCCGGCCACACAGAGGTTCAGTCTGGAGGCCTTCCGCTTCGTACAGGAAGTGACGACTATCAACATCCGGTGTGAGGTTGAGGTTTGCGATGCAACTGACACGGGATCTCGTTGTGCGCAGGTGCATTTTTTTAAATTTTACATGACACATGAAAAAAAACATTGAAGGACACACATGAATAATTTTCTAGCAATATTAAAGTCTGTTTAGTCGAAAACAATGCTGTTTTGGTCATGCAAAACGTCATGTACCATAATGAAGTTTTCGTGGGTAAGTCAAATATTAACGGTTCAACCACAAACGTATTCAAAACTTTCTCAGGGCTGCAGGACCATTCGACACCAGAAGAGGGCGCTCGAGAAGCAGGATGACATGAAGAGCCGCTTTGTGATCTCCCGCGGCCCCATCATCATTGATGAAGACTTCCAACAAGGTGAGTGCACTCTTTACTTACTACGGATATGACCCTGTTGTAGTCCTTTCGTAGCCCTCTTGAATATATGCAGCTGATATTAGTTTGGAAAAAGTAAACGTATGTAACTTGTATATGATATCTGATACCATCATGACATTTATATGATATCAGAGCACCCATTCAAGGCATAAGAAAACTTTGGAAAGGTTGATGATCAGCTTTGTCATTGTTGCTGAGAGCTAGATCGAAATAGCACAAGGGTAAATGTGTTAATTTTCCTAATTTAGAAATAAAGAAAAAACACGTGGATATATTATTTTTTCTGCTTTAGGAGGCGTGGAGAAGAGGACAGCCCTCATAGCCGGAGGATCTGCTATGGTGATAACCCTCGCTGCAGTTCTGGTGGCCGTCAGAGTGAGGCGCTCCAAGCGGATACATCCGGGATACCAGCACCTCGTCAACCTGGACGGCGAGTGACGTCATTCTCCTAGATATAACCAAGGGTGTAATCTGATCTCTTACACGCCGAGTCTGCATGTACTGACAAGAAAGGAAACTGTTTAAATCTTTCATAAGTGTTCAATATGAGAAATATGCAGAAATGCAAAAACCTTGAGTTTCAATTAAGTTACAAAAGGAATCTTTAAAATTAACTTGTAACGAAGTCAAGAAATTGACCTTACATTTTGTACATTACACATCTGAATACATTTCTACACATACGTGGAAGTAATGTATCTTCAGAAAACACCCTTGTTTATGGACAGACCACCTTACCATATCTTGGCATTGGTAACGACTTTTGTTTGGATTTTCTTCTTCAGATTAACCGTTGACTCTATAGATTTACTTAATGATATTTTCATGTCATTTTTTTGCTTCTCGTGTGTTCAATATACGTTCCTTGAAGTGCGCTTAGTTTATAACACACCATATTTGTTTAATGGTTTAATGCTGTAGGTGCGTTTAGTTCAGTATTAAGTACTAAATAAATAAAACTACAATGCAGAGATTTCCGGTGTGTTTAAGTTACTGCCTTTGTTAAAGGTTCTCTGTCACACAACCTACATTCACACGAAGCATGTTTGCTTATAAATCCACCTTGTTGCTTTAATGTGTTGATAGATCAAATAATCTCTTGTGGTAGTTTGGTTTACGGTATTAACAAATGAGTGAAGTGAGTTAAATAACATCAGAGGTATTTGGTGGTTAGAATATAAAAACATTGTAAGGTTTCCTCGGTTTGGATATACAACGACTAACGCTTGGTCTTTCGGTGTAAACCGACTTAGCCTGTCACCAAAACAATGGGTACGGACTGGCGAACTTAAACTCCTGTATAAAGTTAAGCGGCTCCTAATAGGCAGGATAAAAGTTCTAAACGGCACCTAAGCGGCTCCAGATGTCTTAATGAGGGACGGCTACGGTGTCGTAGGTGTCGGTTATCTTGAGGAATGAGTCCACCCTGCTCCATACTAATAGTAAAATTCCAATAACAGACCTGGCGAACTTGGCAACATTCTTGATCACTCAGGTAGCAATTAATACATATCAGTCTGCTCAAACAAAGTTATAATGGAAGTCTATTTGAATATTGATCGATATCATACATTGTTGAGTTAAGGTATACTTTCTACGCGAATTCGTTACCAAGCCAAAGCAGGAGTGTATCACAGGGACACACTGTGCTACTAACTGGATGGTACAAAGCGGGTTGAAATGATGACCAAAGCGGTCCTGTTAGTGTTCCTAGCGGCGCTATGGAGTCCCTCTCTCGGGGACCTGTCCACCGCTCCCATCACCACCGACTGGATCCCCAGGGTCAGCCGCAAGATGACGACTTTTGCCGAGTCCCAAACCGGCGCGCTACAACTGGTCCAGGAATATGACGACAAACTCAGCTTCACACAGACTCAGGTAAGTTTACAACACAAGTCAACATTGCCTACTAAGAAAGATTTAGATCATTCATGGGTGTACCCCATTAGGATAGGACGACAAAATCCCATGACACACAAACGCAAAAGCGCATTGAATTAAGTTCTAAGTAATAAGACAAAGTACCTGATGTTTGAGTTTCACAACATAGCATTATTGCCACTAATTATCGAGCTATTATTTTTAAATGGTTGTGTCAGTGTAGTTGGAAAAAAATTCTACACGGTGTATTCAATATGATCCCGTACTATCCGATATGCCAGCCCGACCGCGCGTCGGATCGCCGACGGCCGACGAGAGATCCGACCCGTGGGAGGGATGGGGCCGAGGGTGCTGCGGAATACACCATTCTGTATGTTATTCATGTCATTGCCACCCGCGACAACATATTTGGATTAAAGCAAAATGAAAGAAGTTTAGTGTCGCTAAACAAACTGTGACATTGTCCGAATCTGGTATTTTTTTTTTAAAGAGACGCATTCGGCTGAAGCGAAACGTGTTTGAGATGTCGGAAGCATTTAGAACCTCGTATGATAAATATAGAATACAACGGGGTATTCCGTATCGCCCGAGGTATCGGCCCGACCTCGGGTCGGATCTCCCGACAGCCGCAGGCCGGAGGGCGATCCGACTCGCGGGAGGGCCGGGACCGAGGGTGATGCGGAATACTCCGTGTTGTATTTTATTTATGTCATACCCACCCAAGAAAACACGCCTTTCAATGCAAGATGAGCCAAAATTTGGTACCACTAAACCCTAAAATGCAACGACATCAATTCCAACGTCCGGATTCCGGTCTGGAACCCGTTATCGAATGTTATCGCGGCCCGGGTATGATATAAGAGTAGTTATAACACGGGTTTGTGCACACAAAAGCGAACGTTATTACGGCCCAGACATGACATTAATGTGATATTTGGACTTTTTGAAAATGAATTTTTTGTCACGTTTTTAAAACCAATATGCATTGTCCGACCCTTTTCTCTGCAACCTAGAGACACATCGGCAAATAGTTACACAAAAGCTACGATATTTGTATTCGTCTTGCTAGATTCATAAGTTACATGTTTCTCTCGGTAAATGTGATTTAAAAGCATTTTTGCAAATAAGGTTAAACATTGTCTGATACAATTTTCATAAGACCCATATAATATCTAATTGACACAGCTTCTTTGTGCTTTTAGAATTGCATTGTCTTTATTTAGATTTTTGGTAGTCTGGGTAGTCTGCGCATTTTTATACATCCTTTTATTCGTATAGCACCGCGAGGGGCCATGTATATGTACTACTGCTATGGCACCAATTCACCCGTCAGATGACTTCGTGGTTAAGTATGTCATGCGGGGTGCTTTTGTTAGATAAAATAGATATGTGTTGACTTTTAACAGAATGACCTAAGCTATATTTTTCTTATTTATCATTGGTGTACACATTTTTTTCATAATTGGTGTACCCGTATTTTTCTCATTTATCAATGCGGTGAAGGGCCATGTTTGTATCCTAAGACCTTTCCCCAAATGACTCCAAGTCTGACGTAATAAGGCGAAAGACTGGTGAACTGTTATCAAGCTGTCCAATTTATTTCATATCGGTAATTTTAATGAACGGGACCAAAGAGCATTGCTCTTGATAACGTCGCCGTGTTACCATTGTCACTAAGTTATTTATATACAGGTGTGGGTCTGTTCCTTTCGACCCTAGCAACACAGAAATTGTAAAGGCAAATGCATAATTCCGATATATAACATATACAAAAATACATAGTACAAAAATATAGCCCCTCCATTTCATAATCTAAAACTGCAGCTAATGTTTATTTCAAATCGTATTTTAGAATGGACTACGTTTTGGAATGCAACAGGCATTCCACTCGTTGCATTCCAAATCATGAGGCAGTTCGACAACGATTAAGAGTTATCCACAAGGTGGCCCATTCGGCTGACTTAGAATGAATTTTGGCAGTCCCGGTTAATAATTAATTAACTTGCCACTTCAGAGGCTTTAGGCACGTATGGAACGTTACAACGGCACAAAACGTGTGCAATCACGTATTTATTAGCTCCGCCCTCACAGACGCCCTTTCCAAAACATGCGATTACAAATCATCATTTGGAAAGAACCAAGTCCTGTAAAATGCCATGCATCCATCTGTGTGTTTTGGAATGTGGCAGCTAACTACCATACACAAAATACAAGGAAATACGCTAAATAAGATGTTACTACTATGCATTATATGCAAAACAACCACGTAAGTAAACATGTTGTTACAATACACAAAGTGCAAAATGGTCCTATTACTATTTAATATGTTGACACTATACACAAAGTGCAAGATAGTACTCTATAATTAAACATGATACTATTAAGCACGTATAAAAACCACATTATTACAATATACAAAACAGTCGTATTACTATGAATATATATATATATAAAAGTGCAAATCAGTACTCCAGATAAACATGTTACTATTATACATTAAGTGCAAGGTAGCCCTGTCAATAAAACTGTTGCTAAAATACACAAAGTGCAAAGCAGTCGTTTTATTATCAATGATGTTGCTACTATACACAAGTTCAAGGTAGTACACGAAATAAGCATGTTACTACTACTATACATAAAGTGCAGGGTAGAACACTAAATAAGCATGTTACTACTACTATACATAAAGTGCAGGGTAGTACACTAAATGAACATGTTACTACTACTATACATACAGTGCAGGGTAATACTCTAAATAAGCATGTTACTACTACTATACACAAAGTGCAGGGTAGTACTCTAAATAAGCATGTTACTACTATATACATAAAGTGCAGGGTATAACACTAAATAAGCATCTACTA